AGGCAGCGGGGAGGAAAAGGCCCGGAGATGCCCCCGGAGGAGGGGCTGCAAAGCCAGCCCAGGGAGCTGTGAGGAGGAAAGAGCCGTCCTGTGCCGGGAAGGCGGCCAGAGCTTGAGCCGGAGCTCCGAGCTGGTGGTCCCTGAGCAGCCTCCCAGCAGGGAGAAGCCCTTCAGGTGCTTGGAATGTGGGAAGAGCTTCGGCCGGAGCTCCACCCTCCTCAGCCACCAGCACATCCACACTGGGGAACGACCCTACACGTGTAGGGAATGTGGGAAGAGCTTCAGGCAGAGCTCCACCCTGATCGCCCACCAGCGCATCCACACTGGGGCACGGCCCTACACGTGTGGGGAATGTGGGAAGGGCTTCAACCAGAACTCCCACCTGATACAACACCAGCGCATCCACACTGGGGAACGGCCCTACACATGTAGGGAATGTGGGAAGAGCTTCAGGGAGAGCTCCAAGCTCCGCAACCACCAGAACATCCACACTGGGGAACGGCCCTACATGTGTAGGGAATGTGGGAAGAGCTTCAGGGACAGCTCCACCCTCCACACCCACCAGCGCATCCACACTGGGGAACGGCCCTACACGTGCTTGCAATGTGGGAAGAGGTTTCAGATCAGCGCAACTCTCCTCAGGCATGAGCGGATTCACACAGATGAGAGGCCCTTCCGCTGCACCGACTGCGGGAAGGGCTTCAAACACAACTCCACCCTCGTCACTCACCGGCGCATCCACACTGGGGAGAGACCCTACAAGTGTGGGGAATGTGGGAAGAGCTTCAGGTGCAGCTCCAAACTCCTCAGCCACCAGCACATCCACACTGGGGAATGGCCCTACATGTGTGGGGAATGTGGGAAGAGCTTCGGGGACAACTCCAACCTGATCCAACACCAGCGCATCCACACTGGGGAACGGCCCTACACATGTAGGGAATGTGGGAAGGGCTTCAACCAGAACTCCAACCTGATCCAACACCAGTGCATCCACACTGGGGAACAGCCCTACATGTGTGGGGAATGTGGGAAGAGCTTCACGTGCAGCTCCAAACTCCTCAGCCACCAGCTCATCCACACTGGGGAACGGCCCTACAAGTGTGGGGAATGTGGGAAGAGGTTTCAGACCAGCTCACATCTCCTCCAGCATGAGCAGACACACACAGAGGAGAGGCCCTTCCACTGCACCGACTGCGGGAAGGGCTTCAAACACAACTCCACCCTCGTCAAGCACCGGCGCATCCACACTGGGGAGAGACCCTACAAGTGTGGGGAGTGTGGGAAGAGCTTCAGGGAAAGCTCCCACTTGACCCAACACCAACGGACCCACCAGTAAGGGAAGCCCTGAGAGTGCCCCGACTGCGGGAAGAGCTTTGGCTGCTGCTCCCACCCCGAATGACCCCCCTGGTGGTGAGGCAACCCCTGGAGTCCAGTGACTGTCAGTCCATCCCTTTCTACCAGAAAGGGCCAGTCCCCTTTGCCAGGGGCAGGTTGTGCCAACAGAACCCTTCTTGGGGGGTGTGTGGAGATTCCTGCCTTGGCTGGGACCCCCCAAGGTCAGTGCTGGAGGTTGAGAGCAGAGATCTCCCCCCGAGCG